CATGTGTGCTGCGAGGAGCCCAAGCCTGTGTCCTACAATGTCATACACCAGTAACTGCTGAGCCCACGATTGGATAAATACATCATTTTATGGAACATTGATTGTTCTATAAACCCAATGGAGTATTATGCTCTATGATCAAACCATTTAGATTGTGTGTAGAGCACAGAAAATGCCGTATTCAGGATGGTACTAAAAGTGCCATTTGTGTATTTTATGGATGTCATTACAGGGGAAACTTCTCTCTGTAGGCCCTGTTTACTGCAAAATTTTTTAGTCTGTAATGACATTTTTCATTCACAACGCATGCCTTCAAGAGAGGGGGCCCTCTTCTTATTTGTTTCATTCGAGTTTACTGCACAAATTCTGTACATTTTAATTAAATGTAAGCTTAACAAAAGCATCGGGCATTTGTTCTGTGGGGAAAGACGCTGGCAGCAAAGAGCAGCACCCACCCCGGCGGAAGCCGCCAGGTGCAGGGGCCCGGCTCTGCGGTCCAAGGCCTGCACGCCTGCCTGGATGCTGCTGGCTTCTTGTGGACCCTGGAGGTGTTCACCCCAGAGGATGCAGACCACAGGGCTACCGCGTCTTGGTGGTGTTCAGGAGTCCTGAGCCGGAAATCGCCTCCCCAGAAACAATCCTCAAACAGCCCCACAAAACATTGCTTTGCTTTTACTTCAGCCGAGGCCTAAGCGTGTGGCTGGGAGGGGAGTGGCGTGTCTGGTGCCCAGGGAGGCGGACGAGCACCGAGCCCAGCTCCCTACTTGTGCGGGCTGCATTTCTGCTCGCTTCGCACCTTCGCACAGAGCGGTGTGTGGCCCTGCTGGAAGCATGCCCAAAAACACTGGCCCACTGTTTGGCCGTGGAAGCTCACACTGTCTTTTAAAAATGTCAAGTGCAGCACAAACGTCATTGGAGGTCCGTGCAGCCCGGCGTCACGGTCGGGACCGAGCAGCTCAGGAGGAAACTGCGCAAGGCCTGTGTCTCCCAAACACTGCCCGGCTTGGCCACGTGCGCCGTGGAGAGCGCCACAGTTCCTGTTACTGCAGAGGGCTCACAAGTGGAAGGTGATGTGCCCAGTGCACTCTTGGTCACAGCCCGGCTAGAACTTCAAGCAGAGCTTCACATTAGTGTAAATGGCACTTGAACTTCTACATAGCTCAGCGTTAATTCATTATGGTTGAAATGGAAGAATCTTCAGTGGGTGAATCTTTTTCAATCTGATTGAGGCTGTTACGTTTTATAGGTGCCGTTTTTCACAGCAGTACTGACAGCACTCGAAGTTATTAAATCGTGGAGTCCAAAGACGGACCTCCTGTCGCACTGGCGACCTGTGAGGGACCAGCCAGGCTGCTGCCGCCCTAGCTGAGGGTGCTGGCTTGGCTCCGTCACACCCTGTCCTGGCAGTGTGTTTACCCTCGCAGTTTACTTTAATGGACTGGCTTAACCCACCTCTGGTTTCAAATTGAGTGGCTGCTCTGAGTGGTGCGATGAGCAGTGCTACAAGAAGTCGGAGGCTCATTCTTCACCCAGGAGACTTCTGTCCAGTTGCAGAGTTAAGAACAGAGCTGCCTGGTTTGCTTATAGAGACTCCCCGGGCCAGGCAGTCCCCCCCTCCCTGAGGGTGGTCATCCTCCCTCAATCTAGAGGGGCCCAGAGTCCCTGGGGAGGGCAGCCCCTCTTCCCTGAGGGTGGCCGGCCCCTGGTTCTAGAAGGGCGGGGCCCTCGTCCCTGGGGAGGGCAGCCCTGTGAAGGCGGCTGCTCCTTGTGTCCTCTTTTCCTTTGTAAATCAAATTCGGTGTCAGCTAAAAATGACCTTGAAATTAGAGAACAACCAGTCCAGCGCCCAGAATGAAGATGGAGGTAGATGAGCAGTGGGGAGTTCCATGCACAGAGGGAGATGATGGCGGGGGGGCCAGGGTCGGCAGAAGTGGACGACGAAGCGTAAGGCCCCATCGGGCTACTGCTCGAGACTGAGCCCCTCTGAGCTCTTTGAGGAGAGAAGTCAGAGAGGATCACCCACTCTGATCATCCGTCATTCATCAGAAGATCACGGAGCGATGAGTTAAAGCAGAGGAGGAATTCAGTCCTTGCCTGCCAGGGGCTTTGTGCTTCAAGCTAGTCTCACGCTTACCTTCTGATTCCCTGGCAAGCCCCTGGGTCTAAGATGGGCAGAGGGTTGTGCCCGTCTGTAAACCCAGGGAGGTGAGGGGCAAGCTGGCAGGGTCCCAGGCAGATCATCCAGCCCGGGGCCCTGGGTGATTCCCTCCACAACACTCCACCTTGGGCCGGCGTTGTGGCATGGCAGGTAAAGCCGCCGCCTGCAGTGCCGCCATCCCTTATGGGCGCTGGTTCAAGTCCTAGCTGCTCCACTTCTGATCTGCTTCCCTGCTGATGTGCCTGGAAAAGCAGTGGAGGATGGCCCAAGTCCTTGGGCCCCTGCACCCATGTGGGTGACCCAGAGAAAGTTCCAGGCTCCTGGCTTCAGATGGGCCCAGCTCAGGCCATTGCAGCCATTTGGGGAGTGAACCAATGGATGGAAGGCCTCTCTCTCTCTCTCTCTCTCTCTCTCTCTCTCTCTGCCTCTCCCTCTTCTCCCTCTCCCCCTCTGCCTTTCAAATAAATAAATAAATCTGTAAAAAATAAAAGGGGGGTCTAGATATGGAAATATTTAAAAAGATCAGTCCTAGATCATTCACTCATCCAGGAGGAGAGAAGGTGGGAAGAAAACTGATAGGAACAGGAGCTCTCTTTCCGGAGATCACCATTGCCAGCCACGTTTGCGGCCTCTCTGGCCTCGGGCCTCGCCCCTCCAGCCCCCAGCTCGTGCCAGTTTCTTCTGTAGCACAGATGGCAGCTCGGGCCTGGCCACTGAGACCCATGAGACAGGCTCACAGCTCTTACTCCACACGGCCCAGGCCTTTGGGGATCCCTGTGCCTGAGACCCATGAGACGGACTCACAGTCTTACTCCACACGGCCCAGGCCTTTGGGGATCCCTGTGCCTGCCTGGGCTGGGGCACCCTGCACTTACCCTTTAGCATCCAGCTTACAAATGACAGACTGCAAAGGACGCCCGGATAGCCAGGCAGGAGCACGCGCCCCCTTCCGGCCTCCCAGGCCCCCAAGCCAGGGGATTCCCACAGGCTCCCCCTGCTCCCGTCCCTAACTCCCACTGGCTGGGTTATTGCCGTCATGTTATTCTTAATAGAATATGCAGGCTTTCCTTCTTCCTGTTGAATAAACAAATTTACTGTATCTAGGATTTAGAATTAAAAGATGATATTCCTTGGAGCAGGGATTTACCCTGGGGGTTAAAATGTTTGCATCCCACATCACAGTACAGTACGTGGTTCTCACCTCAGCGCTCAGTTCTGAGCAGCGCTCAGAGCCCGGGAGGCAGCAGGTGATGGCTCGAGCGCTTGAGTCCCTGACTTCCAGCCTGGGCCCTACCCAGCCCCAGATGTTGCTGGCTTTATGAAGTATACCTGGGAATGGAAGCCCTGTGTGTGTGTGTGTGTGTGTGTGTGTGTGTTGCTGGCTTTATGAAGCATACCTGGGAATGGAAGCCCTGTGTGTGTGTGTGTGTGTGTGTGTGTGTGTGTTGCTGGCTTTATGAAGTATACCTGGGAATGGAAGCCCTGTGTGTGTGTGTGTGTGTGTGTGTGTGTGTGTTGCTGGCTTTATGAAGCATACCTGGGAATGGAAGCCCTGTGTGTGTGTGTGTGTGTGTGTGTGTGTTGCTGGCTTTATGAAGCATACCTGGGAATGGAAGCCCTGTGTGTGTGTGTGTGTGTGTGTGTGTTGCTGGCTTTATGAAGCATACCTGGGAATGGAAGCCCTGTGTGTGTGTGTGTGTGTGTGTTGCTGGCTTTATGAAGCATACCTGGGAATGGAAGCCCTGTGTGTGTGTGTGTGTGTGTTGCTGGCTTTATGAAGCATACCTGGGAATGGAAGCCCTGTGTGTGTGTGTGTGTGTGTGTCCTTTCTGGTTTCCAGGGCGTGGGCATTTGGCGCAGAGGGGAAGACACTGCTTAGGATGCCTGCATCCCGCGTCAGGGTGCCTGGGCTCCAGGCCCTGCTGTGCCACTGACTCCAGCTTCCTGCAGGTGCTCACCCTGGGAGGCTGTGGCCCCTGCACCCACGGGGGAGACCTGGATGGAGCTCCTGGCTCCTGGGTTCAGCCTGGCCCAGTCGCAGCTGTTGCAGGCAGTGGGGGAGTGAACCAGCAGATGGGACATCTGTCACTCTGTCTCGCTCCCACTGTCTCGTACTCTCTTTGTATTTCTGCTTTTCAAATAAGATGAAGAAAAATGTTTTAATTAACAAGGTTTTCCTTTGGATTGGAAGATACTGCTGCCATTGCTGTCTCACTACCAAATATTGAATATGTCAGAAGTGACCACAGTCAAGGGCAGTCAACTGTGCTGCCTCCCCGGGAGCTGGAGTGTGTTTGCACACCCAGCCCCCAAGTGTGGGGAAGTGCACACCAACCCATGACTGCGTACACCCCGGATCCCAGGACAAGCCTGTCAGCCGTCACGTCAGCCAGGCCCTGAGCGCTTCTGGCGCCACGAGCTCTCCCATGCTGCTGCAGCGGCCTTTTGGTTTTTGTTTTTTTTAAGATTATTTATTTGCAAGCCAGAGTTAGGGAGAGACAGAGAGCTTCCATCTGCTGGGTCACTTCCCAGATGACCGCAACAACCAGTAGGCAAAGCTAAGAGCCAAGAGCTTCATCCAGGTTTCCCAACGTGGGTGCAGGGCCCAAGCACTTGGGCCATCTTTTGCTGCTTTTCCCAGGCCATAGCAGGGAGCTGGGTCAGAAGTGGAGCAGCCTAGACGCCAAACAGTGCCCGTATGGGCTGCCGGCACTGCAGGCGCTAGTCCCTTGCCCGCGCTTCTGAACACTGGGCCCTGGCGTTTTGTTGCCATTTCTGTAACACAGGACTGTCTTACTGTTAAGCCTTTGTCAAGGCCCTAACTGGTCTCTGTCTCCCACAGGCATTGTTTCCAAGTCCTACGAGTGCCGCCTGAAGGGACAGGGAGCCACCTTCGTGGAGACGGACAGTCCGTTCACGGCAGCCACCCTGGCAGAGGAGTCGCCCGTCAAAGAGAAGTCCCTGCGGAGCAGCAAGAGGCAGGCCCCGCCTCCCGAGCAGGTGCAGCAGGTCATCATCATCCAGGGCTATGACGGGGACTTCGCCCTGGACGCCTCTGTGGAGGAGACGGCCGCGGCCACCCTGCAGACCCTGGCGATGGCCGGCCAGGTGGCCAGGGTGGTGCACATCACGGAGGACGGGCAGCTCATTGCCACGAGTCAGAACGCAGCCCACGTTGGCAGCGTGGTGCCCGGGCCCATCCTCCCCGAGCAGCTGGCCGAGGGAGCCACGCAGGTGGTGGTCGTGGGGGGCTCGATGGAGGGCCGCGGTGTGGAGGAGGCCCTGGGCCCCGGAGGGGCTGTGATCCAGCAGGTCACCAAGCAGGAGGTCTTCAGTCTGTCCGAGGCCGGGACGCCCGACGCCGCCTCTGCCTTGGATGCTTTGCTCTGCGCCGTCACCGAGCTGGGGGAGGCGGAGGGCAGGGCAGGGAGCGAGGAGGAGCGGGGCCGGCCGGGCCACAAGGACGTGCTCATCCAGCTGCCCTGCCAGGACGCGTCGCACGCGGCCGCCGCCGAGCCCGAGGGCCCCGAGATCCAGGTGTTCCCAGACGGCCAGGAGAGCCCGGGGGCCCTGGAGGTGCGCACCCAGGTGGCCCGCGCCTCCGCCCTCGTCGCGTCTCCAGAGCGAGCACAGGTGGCCTTCAAGAAGATGGTGCAGGGCGTCCTGCAGTTCGCCGTGTGTGACTCGGCTGCGGCCGGCCAGCTCATCAAGGACGGCGTCACCCAGGTCATCGTGAACGAGGAGGGCGCCGTGCACATGGTGGCCGGGGAGGGCTCCCAGATCCTCATGCAGGAGCCCGAGGCCCACGGCCTGAGGGTGCCGGGCGAGCACGTGGACCTGGTGGAGTCTGACGGGGAGATCTCGCAGATCATTGTCACGGAGGAGCTGGTGCAGGCCATGGTGGGCGAGTCCGCCGGCGGCTTCCCCGGGGGCGCCACCCACTACATCGTCACGGAGCTGCCCCCGGGGGCGCAGGAGGACGCGGGCGTGTTCTCCCACACCGTGATCGAGACGGCCGGCCCCCAGGAGCTCCTGCAGGCCGAGGCCGTGGCCCCGGGCGGGGCGGAACAGCTGACCAGCATGGTCATTTACACCCAGGACGGCTCCCCCGCGGCCACGGTGATTCAGAGCCACAGAGAAAGCAGCGAGCTCCATGAAGCCTGAGCGTGGGCGCCGGGCCCGACTCCACCCAGGGGTGCAGGAGAGGCCCAGCGAGAGCCGCGAGCGCGCCGGGGCAGTGGGCCGGGCCGGGCCCGGGCGGCCTTCCTGGCTGCAGCTCGCTGGCCTGGCTTTCACGCCCTCCAGTGTTCCCCGTTCAGTCCCTGCAGGACGGTGGCCCACGGCAGTCAGCTACGGAACAGGCCTCCTGCGGCGTGGGGCTACTGCCCCGGCGGTCAGCGCGCAGCTGGCTTTAACGTTTTGTTGTCAATTGGTTGAAAGTTGCAGCTGCGATTATTACCGTCTGGAAGCAGTCCACTCCATTCATTTTCTCTTTCTTTTGAAACTTTAGGATAACAATGTCCCCAGACCAAAGGAAGCCTGTTAGTTCATTTCACGTCTAAATCTCCTCCCTTCAAACATTGTCACCGTATTCATCGCTCTGGTTGCATTCTGCATATAAGAAATATTAAGCCCATGGTTAAGAAAAGCCTTGAAGTTTATTTAAGATATACCTTGGTTAAGACAGCTGTTGCTCCTGACTTAGCTTCCTGCCATGAAATCTGTCTATGAAATGTGCACTCTGGAAAATACTGCTCATATCAATATTTTGCTTTTCATGACAAACATTTGTTCTTACTGCTGTCGCTCTGCAGGATCTATTTGTGATTTGTGTCGGTCTGAACAGGCTGACCTTGAAGGTAAGCAGACAGACACCGTGCCCCTCCGCCCCCCGCCCCTCCCGACCGGCGTGGTCCGTGGACGCACCGCGCTGTGGAGTACGAGTTCCTGTTCCAGTTTGTTTCTAGATATGACCGCTCTTGCTTCTCCGGAACTGTAAGATAATCCCCTCCCTCCAAGGCAGAAGTTGTTTTCATTCTGTTTTCTTTGAAATAAAATTGTAGCAGTAAGCAGCGATGGAGTGTCAGTCATTGCACGGGGCGTGGGGGCGGCCCTCGCTCACTCCCTCCTGCGAGGCCGGGGCTGACGTCTGCTGGTGTCTCCCGCAGCCACATGCCCCCTGTGTTTGGCGAATGGCCCAGGCACATCCTGCGACAGTAACGTCGCCCATCAACCGAGAGCCCGTGGAACCTCTTCCCTGGGATAACCAGGCCACCTCCCCTCACACAGGCCCCTCCAAACAGCAAGCCGGGAGACCTGAGGCCTGGCGCCCAGCGCGGTAAATAGCCCTAAAAATGGCAGGGCCACGCAGTTGCTCTCCAGCGTTGTCTTCGACAAACAGTGACAGGGCCAACTCCCATTTGTTACCAGAATAAAGCTGGCCTTTACCATGTGATGGCCCTCGCTACAGAAGGGGGAGGGGCGTGTTCAGCGGCGATACTTCCAGATCTCCCAGCCTAGGGCGGCCCGACTCCGCGGTGGTAACGTGGACACGCTGCGGTTTACCAAGAGTGACTAAATATGTCTCGGTGGCATGTAACCCTTCATCAAGCCACGCAGCCTGCAGCGGCACACCGGAACCACGCTGCGTGCATGACACAGAGAGCAGGGCCCTGCATGGCGAGGGGCGTGCAGACGGGGTCTCCAGGTGCACCCGGGGACTGCACGGCTCCCCCGGCCCGCTGCGTCCTGTGAGCACCTGTGGAGCGGGTCCATGCTGCCTCTTTCCTGTCCCCACGCGAGTCCAAGCGTGCACGAATCTGCACCTCAGCGTGGCGGTCAGTAGGGACGTCCCGTACAGCGGCGTCTGCAGCATGCTTCCGGAAGATTCGCCGAGTAAGCAGCAGAGCCCGTGAAACCCCTACCTGGAGGCAGGAATCCGGAGAGGCCGCTTTACAGCTCGCCTTGGCCAGTGAAACGGCCCGACCCCAAGGGCAGGTGGCCTGCGGGGAAGACCGGGGCCAGCAGTCGGGGTTTGCAGTGCTGTGGCCAGGGTCGGGGCAGGGGAGGGTGCCAGCCGGGGTGGAGGGGGACAGAGAGCAGAGCAGCTTGCCTGGCCCTGGGTCCACGCCCGCGACAGCCCAGTGACAGGCATCGGTTTGCTTTGCCTGGAGGAACCGAGTGCCGTGAGGAAGGCGCCGGCCCTTACGCACATAGGCTGGAGCTGTGCCGTGAGGGCGCCCGGGAGGCGGCCTGTCCAGGGCGAGGGCGGTGGGGAAAGAGCCCTCAGGTGACCGGCCCAGAGGAGGTGTGGGTTTACAGCCCAAGGAACCGGCGCCACGGCCAGCATGGAGGGTGGGCAGTGGCAGGACACACAGCCCCGGGGGAGGTGCGGCCGAGGAGCCCAGCTGGACACGGCGAGGGGCGGAGTTTGGCCGGACCAGCTTAGCAGGTTCTTGCAGAGAGCAGATTGGATGAGGACGGACATGTGCAGGCTCAGGCTCCAGCCTGGTCAAGCAGAGACCCTGTCAGAGCCCCTCCCCGTGCAGGAGCAAGGGCCCCACTCCCGGGGTCTCAGTCCCCCCCCCCCCCCCCCGCCCCGGGAGTCCCCTGAGCACGCTCTGGGCTCTGCCACTTTGGCCCTGGCAAGAGGGAAGTGTGGGAGAGGCAGCTCCAAACTGTGACCCTGGCGGCTCCAGGAAGAGACCGGGAAGGCCGAGGGCCGCCCTGGGCCCTGCCTGCCCGCTGCTCTCCGTGAGCAGAGGGCCCATCTCGGTGAAGAATTCCGCTCCTGCCCGCCCCCCAGGGAATATCATTTCCCACGGAGGAGCAAGTTCCCGCGGGTGGCAGTTATGCGTTGCGGAAGCCCCTTCTAATCAGGGACTGGTGATTCATTCTCGGCTTCGGCGGGCGATCCATCTGACATGGAAGGGGGAAAAATTAGCAGCTGTCACCGCGTGATGAGTTAATTTCCTGACGGGCCTGACACTGAAAAGCCATTTGGAGACATGGCGACAGTGACGAGGAAACCTGGAGCAGCTTTCTAATTGGACATGAAGAAAGGGCAGGGAAACAGGCCGGGCAGGGCCGCCAGCCCGCGAGCCGGGGGCTCGGCGCCAGGCCCACAATGCCCGGAGGGAGGCCGGGCCCCTCGTTCCTGGCTGGGCCCCGGGGTCCCGGGGGCGCTCAGCCCACTTCTTCCTCCCCTGCGCTGTGTCTGCCAGCGGAGAGAGACACGGGCGGCCTCTGGACGGGACCCTGGGCCGTCTACACGCTCAGGGTTCCAGCGTGGGAAGGAGCCTCGTGAGAGAAGTATGGAGTGGGAGGCAATGGTGCTGTGTGGGGAGGGGCCGGGGCGGGAGAAGCCGCGCCTTGAGTACCTGAAGGCAGAAATGAGACGCAGAAACCGGCAGCCATTGAGGTGAGCAGGCAGCACTCGCACAGTGCTCCATGGGGTTCTGGAGTCGGGGCCCCAGCACCCGGCCCCTGGGCCCTCGGGTGCCCCGTGCTGTGACCCAGGGCAGGTCAGCTCCCTCCGTCCTCTGGACGCCGGTGTGCAAATCCAGCAGAGCAGAGTCACGCCAGACAAGGAAGCAGGCGGCCAGGACCCATCTCTGCCCAACCCCTGGAGCCCCTCGCCCAGGCCAGGACCCCCTCCAGGAGCAAAGGGCTGAGAAGGGACTTGGGCAGCGTGGGGCGGGGCGGGGCGGGGCCGGCAGTGCCAGTGCCCAGCCGCAGAGGCCCAGGACCAGGAATGAGCAAACCCAGCCTAGATCTCTCCGCCAAAAGCGCACTTCCTTCCTCCATGGTCTGCCTTTTCAGGACCTTTTAATAAATTCCTTCAAAATGACCTAATTTCAACATGACTTTCGACATCATAAAAAGACAATTTATAACCGGGATAAAGCCGGACATGTGGCCCGGCCCTGGGGGCCAGAGCCAGGCCCGCGCTCCCTGTCTCGGGTTTCTCTCGGAATCCTCCGAGGTGGAGGAGCAACAGCCTTCGGGGAGGAAGGACTTGTGTTTTCACGTCCAAGCCGAGCTCCCATCCACTGCTCTAGCCCCGCCCCCCCGCAAAGGCCCAGAGCAGCCGGGACTGGGCCAGTGCCTTGCCCTGCCGTGGGGAGAAGCCTTGGGTTTTGGTGACCCTGAGTGATGGGGCTGGGCGTCTCAGGACAGGTGTCCTGGGGTAGCTGCAGAGACGCTGAGGCGGGGCAGCGCCCTGTTCTACTCCAGACAGCGTGCTTCTCACACCCGCCCTGGGGCGGGGATGCACCCGGGGTGCCCTGGATTTGGTGAGTGTGCACCTCCTGTGGGGCAGGTGTGGGGGGAGCAGACAGAGGTGCCGCAGGAGGCAGGTCTGGCAGGCCGAGCTCCTTGGGGTGGGGAGGAGGGCTGTGGTCCCCTGGCTGCCCAGGCCCCCAGTGAGTGGCAGCACCCAGGCCTTGTCGTCCTGAGACACTCCAGTGGCCCTGGGTGCGGTCCTAGGTCCCAGTCACCTGGGGCAGAAGGCTCTCCAGGTCCGGACGCTTCGGGCAGGGGCCGGAGGGCTACACAGAGGTAAGGACTGCCTCTGGGGCCCCCGGGGAGAAGGCGCCCTGGCTCCCGAGATCCTGCACTGATGGTCTGGACCGAGGCATAGGCCTTCACACCCATCATCTGAGCTGGCCACGGGCGCTGCCAGTCTCGTGTGGGGCCGAGTTGGGAGTAGAGAAGCCCCAGTGCTAACCCCAGCTGGAGGTCCGGGGCAGCGACACGGATGGCTCCAGGCAAATGTGCACGAATTGCTCGAGGAAAGCAGTGGGAAGATGACTGAGGCTGCCACAGTGGCCGTGGCCAAGCCACCCCAAAGCTGGACCTACACCAGCACAGCCCTGGGTGGCTGCACACTGGGGAGAGCCCGTGCCGGGACAGACAGCCTGGCCTGTGCCAGACCCTCGGAGTGGCCGTGGAGGCTCAGGGCAGTGCCTTCCAGGAGGGGTGCACAGCCGAGGGCACCTCACTCCTGCCCTCGCCTCCCCAGGGCCCCAGAGCTGCGCCACGTGGAGCTGTTCCCAGCAGTGCCCGCCTCCTGCTCCCTCCGGGGCTTAGATGCATGGCTGAGGCATGGCTGGGGACAGGGCCCACCGCCGTTTGTTTCCAGGCTACAGCTGCACCCGTGACGGGGGAGCAAGTCTCTCAGGGGGTCTGGGGCCGCCTAGAGCAGGGACAGAGGCAGGTGGCCTGGGGTCACCACGCCAGGCACATGTGGCAGGCACTCTCCTCCCCGCTTCCGCTTCCTCACCTGACTGTTCCCCACTGTGCACATGCAGGAAGCCGGCGGCGACCGAGCCGTCCCAGGCCAGGCCAGGTGGGAGGTGTGGAGCCCAGCCGTCCAGAAGGTTCTACAGGCACCAAATGCCCACTGTGGGGAAGAGGAAGGCTCTTGGCTGGGGCCAGGGACTTCACAGCGCCCCCAAGTGCCGATCACACACACACACACACACACTGATGGCGCCGTCATTACACAAAGCACGAAAACAGCACTGCCAAAGGGTGACAGCGAAACCGCTTGGCTAACCCAAAAAACCGCTGTCACTTTTAGGACAAAATTCTTTTCAAACAGTGACTGGGCTTCCTGGTGAGCTGGAGTGGTGGTGACTTGGAGCTGGCCGGTGTGGGGCTCCTAACAGGAGGAGGGCCACTCAGCCATGTTCCCGCCATGGCTTGCGCTGGCGTCGTGGGGACTCCCCAGCCACTGTCTGCGGCACGTTGTCACAAGGACTCACTGGCGCAGAGCGCACACGTCTCTAAGTCTACGTGGGCAGGCAGGGGGCTGCACTGTGGAGCCCCGTCCTCGGCAGCTGTGGCCTGGCCGACCCCTGCCATGAGACGCCCAGACCAAGAGGGGCGGCTGTCACCTGTCCATGGAGCCTCTGAGTCTTCAAATAAAGACACGGGTAAGTGCTGTTCTCGCACCGTGTTTCTGCACCCAGCGGCTCGTCGGCACCCCAGTGTGAGCACCCAGTGTCCTGAGCGGCACCTTTGCTGAATTCACTTCCGTTTGTGCACTCACGGTCTGGACGGGGCT